ATGGGTATGACACTCACCACTTAGCCGGGAATGGCTGGGAAACATCCTCACCATGTGTGCTTCTGACAGTGGTCCCAGTCTTGTGAAGCTGCCGTGGGGTTAAACATGCTATTAAATGTGTGAATTTGCATTGCTGGTGATGAGTGTCACATGCTGAGGTCCCCAGCCTCACTGCACACCAGGATCATGTGGTAGCTCATGTGGTGTGGTGTTAAAACCAGCCAGGCATGGTGATGTGTGCCTGAAACAACCGAGCTCAGGAGGCTGAAGAAGGAGGGCCATGAGTTTGAGGCCAACTTGGATCATATAAAGAGACTATCTCAGGAAATTGTAAAAACAAAACAAAACCTCACAAATATGATGCTTAGATCCTGCATTTATTTCCTATTTCCACTGCAGCAAATTGCCACAGACCCAGTCACTGAAAACATGTGTTGGTCACTTTGCAGTTTGGAAGGTCAGAAGCTCAGTGTGGTCTCCTGGGTTAAAAATACAGAATCAGGTTCCTCACAGAGGCTCTGGTGAAAGCCCAGCCCTGAATCTACCCATGTTCCCTGGCTGTGGTCTCTTCGTCCCCTCAGGACCTGGAGAGCTGGTGCAGAATTACACACACACGCACACACACTGAGCTGGTGCAGAATTACACACACACGCACACACACTGAGCTGGTGCAGAATTACACACACACACACACACACACACACACACACACACACACCTCTGAGACACCAGTCCTCCTCTCTCTCCAGCACAGCGACAAACATGTATGGTCTACACTGGACCCCAGCGGTACCCAGAGTCATCCATTTTCAGCTCAGCCAATGTACAGCCACCTTAGTTCCCCTTGCTGTGTGATGTGGTCACAGATTCTGGGAAAGAAGATGTGGGTTTCAGTAGACCACATGCTCCCTGGTCACTGTGGCCCATCCTTGTCCTCCGAAGCTCAGACCTGATTGCTGTAGCACTGACAGGCTGCAGCCATCCTGGTGATTCTAGCATCAGCCTCATTTGAGGATGACTGATGTACAATTCTCAGTATCCCATGAAAGCTCAGCCCCATGAAATGTGTAGCAATGGTCACATGAGGCTCAGAAGGTCCTTACTGAAATACTTTAAATGTTGAGCAGAGAAAGAAGTCCTGTAATAGAGAAACCTATTCAACCCTACTGGACCAGTCCTGAAAATATTAGAGGAGCACCTACTCTGAGCCCAAGGACTTACTTCCCCACATAAGGTACTTGGGGTCTAATGTTCCAGGAAAGAAAAGGGGTGAGTATATGGTGCTTGTTTTGTTTTGTTCACTCAAAAACTTTTTTTAAATTTTGCTATTAAACTACCTATTGAATTGGGACATTTCAAGGGCTTAAAATCTCAAGATGAATTATTAAATATTTATACATATTAATGAGAACATGGTCATATGGAATAGACAGTATTTGACAAAAGAAAGAGGAAAAAGCTATAAAGACCCCAAAACAGAACTGTTTTGTTAAGTTTAAAAAAACTAACATTGCCAATTTTTATATCTAAGGACTGACTCATTCACACAAAATTATCTAATGACTCAGTAGCATAAATGTAATTGAATCAATCTATTTCATATAGCTACACTGTGAAGAGAATTAGCCAGATCTGAATAAATTGTGAAAATTGGGTCCATATCTCCTAGCAGACTCCCAGATATGCAAGCTATTTTCCTCTAACCTCTTAGCATTAATCTACCTTACAGAGCAGCAAGTAAATGAGGAGCACATAATGTTGGGAAATTTTTGTGTCTGTTTAAGAGGCCCATCATTAATAACTGGGCTAATTTGTCAGTCACAGTCTCCTATTTCAGAAGAGGGATAATTCAGAACAAATAAGCAGACAGACTAAATAAACTGTTTGGGTCATAAATGAGCAAGCAGGCTACTTCCTAAAACTTCTCCTGCAGAGGAGTGAGGCCGTGGTGGGGCTGTCTCCACGTAAAGCTGGGTTGGCAACAGGAGGCAGAGGGATTCTAGGGCTGGGCTGAGCTTAGCAGCTTAGCAAACAAATGTTCAGACCTCCCCCTGCTGCCCAGCTAGAAAATCCCTGTCAGAGCCTGGGTCATCTGAGGGTGGACGAAGTGACACTGGGTGGAGGGTGTGGACCTCAGCCCGGGGCTCTCCCACATGTGCACAGGGTCACATCCCTTGTCAGATATGGAGACTGGAACAGGCCACTGAATGCTCATGGGCTTGTATTCCTCCTCAATACAATGGCATGGCAATAGTGCTTGATGCTTGAACTTAAGAGTAACTAGCTGTTCACTTTGTTTTTCAGTCAGTCCATTACATTTATATTGAATATAAACTAATATGATTAAATGCTTATACAAGTTTAATGTACTTTCATAAATTTTATTAAAAGTATATTTGCAATTCATAAAAGAAGTTACACAGCAAAGAAGAATTCAATGTGAAATATGGCTACATGAGGTGGGTTTAATTTTCCTAGTAACTAACACCACTGATTTTAGCAGCTCAGTTTCTGTATTTACAGAAAAGATACTGAGTTCAAGAAAGACTGAGTCACTTATTTTTAAAAATCTAAAAAATAAAGACAAAAGGCAAACCTGTAAAGTCTTGCTTAATGATTTACTTATGCATTTTACTGTAATAAGTTCTAAAAGCTACTAAAACCCTAAAAGACGCTTTTTGATGCTTCAGGTTCTCCCAGCAATGCACTCAGAAACACATGTTGGATATTTACTCAGGAGCAGCCATCATACTAAATGCCAAGTAGAGAAATGCACAGTGGTAAAGAGGGATGTAGGAATTAATCAAATGACTTTTTTTTTAAATTTTGGAGACAGCTAGAAAGGAAAAAGACTCAACTCCACCCCTGCAAATGACAAATGGGGTCGTAGACTTTTAGAAAATGTTTCGCCATAATGCTCCCAACTCTCGGCCAGCTAATGACACACAGACCCTGCGCCCATTTGCCTGCCCAGCAAATATTGACCTTGAGGAGAGAGGTTGGAGGACAAAGAAAAGTTCCTCAATCCTTAGGTTGAATTAAAGAGGAGAACTGTAGTCTTGAAAAATTTTCTTAGCATTTCTTTCAATCTAAAATATAGTACTAAGAAACTATTTCTACATTCTACCAAGACAGTGGATCTTAAAATGGCCTCTAACATAAAAAGTTGATTTTTGTTTTTGAAATTTCACCCAGCAGGGAAGGAGCTGAGGTAGCAACAGTTTGACCTGAACAAGCCACCTCCAGCAGTCGGCGGCACTGTCCCCTCCACCTCTCCAAGTCACCCCATTGCTGGTTTAGCTGGCTCTCTCAGCTCCTGCTCATCCTGTCTACTCCATCAGGCCTCACTATCTGACCTGTTGTCTCCTCCCTGGGCTCCGCAGTGTGCCCTTTAACTTTCACCCTCGGGAGAACACAGGTTCTGTGTCACTCTTCTCGCTCTGTCAGAGTACAAATGAGCATACTGAAAGGAGCAGCATATTTTTACATTAGAAAAATATTGGCCTGAAAATGTAAATCTTGGACTGGTGGTGTAGCAGGAGCCCTCGGTTCAGCCTCCAGCACTACACAATCAATCAGTATCCATCCACCCATCCACCCATCCTACTCTCATTAGCTATTGCCCTCTAGATAGCACTGTGCTGTCTATTCCAGGTTCTCACTCTTCTGCACTATTGGAAGGATTATTTCCCATCCTGCCTATCCACTGTTGCCAGACACCTCCTATGACTGAAAAGTAAAAGCACCACACACATACACACACACACACACACACACACACACACACATGACTGCAGGTTCTTTTCAAGGGTGAAATTGAATAAGATCCACAATTGTAGGAGATAGTAATATGCCAACATTAATTTTCCAGTTTGACCATGTGATCGAGCCATAAAAGACGTCCTTGCTGGAGGCTGGGTGACTTGTGCGGGAGTCTTTGTCCCAAATACTCTTTCAGAGTCCACAATCACTGTACAATAAGAACAAAAGTAAAACCTATACATATCATTCTTCAGGTTTTCAATAGGTGTGATTTTGCACTGTATTTCAGTATCCCCTTCAAAATAGAAGCACGTCACTTCCATCACTGAGTCCTGTGTTTACCAAGACACTTTGCCCTTGACCTCTCGCTGCTTCTTCCTCATCTGGCTCCTCAGGCACTCGCTCCCTCCAGTTTGGAGGTAAATTCAGCTGCTCTCCTCAAGCTTTGAGTACCTTCCCGCGGCTCCGTACAACCTCTCCCATTCACAAAGCCTCTTATCAACCTCTCCTTTTATTTCTAGCCCCACAAAACTGTAAGCTCACAGAGGACAGCTCCTGCCTCATCCACTCAGCCCCTTAGACCCTGGACAGCCCCAGGCCTGATGCCCCGGAAATGAATTTTAAGGAGCCGCTCAGCTCTCAGCGCGAGACCGCTGACCCGGAAGGGAAAGCCGAAGCTGGGTCTAGGGGAAATCAGCACACGGAGGAGCAGTGTGACCTGTCTTTCCGACCCAAGCAGTCCTCCCGGGCTTCCGAGAGCTTTTCTTTGAACATTTCTGCTGGACACCAGGGGAAGGAAGGCGTCGATAGTGTGATGTGTGCTGTGTGAACAGCAGGCTCTGGCCAAGGCTACGGCGCAGCGGAGAAGCTGCACGCTCCTCAGAAAATGCCAAATTAGCCAGGCCTCTCCAGCCAGCTTCAGGTTCGCCTTCCATCAGTTACTTCTCAGTATGAATGTTTTCCTCTCAGTTTATTTCCACTCACTGTCATATTCTTTCTCGCCACTGTTCAGTAATAAAGAGCCCAGCAAATCCCTGCAGGGCCGTAGACTCAGACGAGCCACAGTGACCTCGGTCTGAGATGTCTGCGCCGCCCAGAGGTTCAGTCCCAATCCTGGAGCTCAGGTAATTATTTGTCCAGCACCCGGAATGACACAGCATTATTATTGCAGCGCCCACGCTAATGAAAGGATATGAAAGCAAATAAACAGTAACACAGTAAGGTAAGACGATCAAAAGCAAAAAATAAAATAAAATAAATAAAACTGAAGCAAACCCGTTTACCTAATGTGAGTGTCTGCACAGAGTTTCCAAGACTGCGCAAAGAATGGGTGATTTAACCCACTACTAAACAGCTTCTGTGCACGCAGGCTTCTTGAGCAAGCAGTGTGTGAGGGGAGAGCTCTGATTCTCATTCGGCTGCACATACCGAGGGCGTCTGGAGGCGAGCACTGCGTTGGACGCCCGGTGTGGATTTCTGTTTCCGTCTTCCTGGTGGATTTGAACACAGTCCATGTTTCCTCAAGTAAAGCTAAGGCCCTGCTCGTGCTGCCCTCCCCCAGGTTGACCCCTAGGTGGCAGCAGGCAGCACGGCCCATAGCCGGAGTCGCCAGCTCCAGTTTATTCATTAAACTGCTTTTCTTAATAGAGTTACTGACTTTGGCCAGTGGGAATATTTAGCACATCCAAAATTATCACAGACACAAGAAAACAAAGAAGTGCATCTGGGGTCTTGTACAATGCCTTTCTTTAGAGGCTTCTAGACAACACCAAGCTAGGAAGAAACCGAGCTGAAATACTTCTGTATTGATTGACAGCAGTGGAAAGAACTGAACTTCTGCTTTCACTTTCAGCTGAGGATGGGCCTTTAATTATGAGACTTTAAAAAGCTATCTCTCTTAAGCTATCACCCCTTCACCTCCCTCACAGAACAATTTATTTCCTAGTATTTGAAGTAAAAGAGGAAAATATACAGGTCGCGAGTAGCATATTGTGAATGTGTTTTCATAATCACTTACACTCGGGGGCCTGCTAACTGTTCAGTTCAATCCAGGAAGAGTTAGCCAGGCAGCGTTCAATCCAGACGAGTGACTCCGAATAAACCAGTGTCTTAGAACCACCTCATTTCATAGAAGCGTGAGGATATCTGTTTATTTTAGTTGTAAATTTATAAGGAGCTAAACTTGCATTAGCTTTAGTTCCACAGATTGAAATTTTTGGATATCATAATTCTAACTGTCCTCAAAAAACTTCTTCAAAGTTACAGCCAAAGTTGGGAATAAAACTGTAGTTCCCCATAGATCTTTCATTAAGGATAAAAATAAATAATATTTACAATCTGGAAATATGTGGAAAAGCAATATATAATTATACATCCAATAGCATATATTGGGGAGTTTCTAAAATCAGGTACTGAGCTAGACACTAGATGTATAACTTTTGTTTTTCGAGCCTTTGATATAATTAATGCAAGGAACTAGGACAAATGAAATGTAACTGATATAATTTGTATACATTGTACTCGTGTATACTCCAAGGAAACAAGGACTTAATGACTTCACAGTTAATAAATACTCTAGATGCAAACTATATTAATTCAGGATCATGTCGATAAAATGAACATAAACCTGGAGAATTTAATGAAAATATTTCAGGATCCAAAGACATAAAGCAGCCAGGTCTTCAGTATCTATTAGGTATCTATTTACTGAAAGAAGTATAGAGTTGAGCTCTTGTCTTCAAACAGCTATCTGAGGGAAGCAAATTCCAAGATTTATACACAATATTAAGCACGCTGAGAAAAAATACAACCAAAACTTGGTAATATAAGCTTAAACCTAGAAAAATATGTGTAACATGTATCTTTGTTAATAAAATAAAATTTCTAAAGATATAGAAGATGAAAGAGAGGAAAGAAATATTGGCAATGACCAGAAAAAAACCACATACAAACTAAAACTACAGGTTCAGGTTTGTAAATCTGGATAAAAATTACAGAACCTTCCTATTTCAAGCTATTAAACTGTAATGTTACCATAGAGCTAATGAGGGTGGCAGTTCTTCAGCAGAGGAGGAGATGCATTCCTTGGCAAGCACATTGAGTAGCAAACCTGTGGGAAGAGAGAAGAACCAGTGGGTTAAGAAGTGAGATTCACAGAAGCCCAGGGAACTCAGTTACAGGTGGCAAGATGATTCCAGAGTCAGGGAATGCATCAGAATTGCATTCCCGAAAATGGTATAATCTGATGATATATTGATGGCAAACTTTGATAAAAAAATGAAAAAGAGGATATGAGCTAAATATGACTAATTTTTTGTCTATGAAAATTCAATGTTAATGTATTGAGTCAATCTGAGGCACAAGAAAAGAGGTAGCTGTGCAATTACAAACCGAGTTCCAAAGAGGTGTGTAATTCAATTAAGGGATATTCAAGAAGACAGTATGTACCTGTAGTTCCTAACGTAACTAAATCTGGAGTGAGCGATATCTGGACTAGACCCAATAGCCTTGCAGAGAACTACTAGAAATTCTTAATTCCTAGAATGACTTAAATTCTTGAGCATTTAAAAGTTTCCAAAGTAGAAAGATACATACAGCCCAGGGTTACCTGAACAATCATCTCCCTGAGACTGGAGAAGCAGAGGAAAGAGGAGATATAGCAGTAGAAGGTCAGAAAATAACATGAAGGAAACATCAGCAGGGGCCTCTTTTATCATTAAACTTCAGTGAACAGCCCTAATAATGCCTTAGCACTACTTGGGATAAAGTATGTTGCTTATAAATGACTTTTCCTATAAGCAGTTCTAATGAATAAATCTCCAAATTTCTGTGGCTATGCATAACAACATATTTCTTGCTTTCAGGAAGTCCTCCAAGGAAATTTCTTGATGAGAGGTCAGCTTTTCCAGAGTTAGAACCTGGAAACTTTTCCCTGTGGCTCCTCCCTCTTCTAGCCTCCCTGCATTTGCTCAACAGGTGAGGAAAGGCACAGAGAACGGTGCAGTAGAGGTGTTGTGGGCCAAACCCAGAAGTGCTGTCTGTCCCTCCTTCTCATGATCCGGTGGTGGCGAGAACTCAGCCTGGCAGCCTCACTCAGTTCCAAGTGTTGTTGAAATACTATCTCTAGACTCAGGAAGAAGAGGAGTCTGGTCAAGTGAACAGTGACTTAACCTTTGTCACACTCCATTCTGGGGATAGCCTCCTAATTAATGATGATAATGATAATAGAAACCAGACAAAATTTCGGCATTTAAGTTTTATATTGTTCACAGGATTTAAAATTAAATCATTGGGCTGGGGATTTAACTCAGTGGTTCCACCGCCTGCCTCATAAGCAAAAAGTCCTGAGTTCGATCCCTGGTACCAAAAAAATAAATTAATTAATTAAACTAAATTAAATCATTTATCTTCTCTTAAAGTGTCTAACTTCTAGCTTTAGTTCTGTCAGTGAGTACAAAAACCTCCATAAATTACATTCCCTGCTTAATACACAGTCCTGATGATAAAGTAAATACTAAATTAAAATTTTCACGCTGTGTTCCATGGAAATGATATGATAGACTGTGTTCAATAGAAAGATAAGAAGCCCAGTGAATCAATGCATCATTCAACTATTCCTTCATCATTCAAAGCAGATGAAAGGAGGTCTCACAGAGAGGCAAGGAGAGTCACACAGGTGTCCCCATGCAGGAGTGAGAATCATACAGGAACAGCTGATCCAGGAGAACTAGGGTCTCAGTAAAGGTGAACAAGCACCACCTGACATTTCAGTGGGAGGAAGCCCACACGATGAATGAGGAAATGCTTTGAATCAAACAAAGTGTCTTACCTGGGGGAATATCTGGAGAGAAGTCCAGTATGTGGCATGAAATAATGACTGGAAAGATTTTAATTAAAAAGGATTAAGCTTGAGCTTGCATGCTCTCAACTTCTGGGCCCTGAAGATATTTGTTTTCTTCTCAATAGTTTGCTTCAAAGTAACATGCAACTGTCAGGGGGTGGCATGCTTATTCTGTCACCTGCTCAGTAGGTCTCATCACCCAGCACAATTTGGACAGTGGCTGAGCAATTCTAGCAGCCTGTGGCCCAGTTCAGGGTCCTCAAGCTTTCCCACATTTGAGATATCCTAGGAAACCTAGAATACTGATGCCTGGTTCTGACTTTACCAATTCTGATGTTCTTGATGAAGCCCCAGCCTGAGAAGTAGTTTTTATTACTAACTAGAAGTAGTTTTGCTCATGGGCACCGAACATGGGCAGCTAGGGGCTCAGGTTTACTCCTCATCCCCTTTCTATGGAACAGTGAGCTGGACTCTTCAAAAGGAGAGTGAAGACCAGGCTGTCGGGACATAAACTGAGCTCTATTCTGTTAATTGAATGCATCAATTAGTTTATTGTGTGTCGGATATTGTTCCTAGATCTTGGGATATATGTGTGAACCAAACATTTTGTGAAGAAGCACACTGAATAGTTAATATAGACACAAATACATTCCATAGGATAATAAAAGATGATAAAATCATAAATGTGGACAGTAGGGGGTGGAAAGGGGACCAGGGAGGATTTCCAGCTCTAAATGAGGTCATCACAGAGATGTTTCACCTGAGCTCCACAGAGCACCGTCTGTATGTCTTTACGTATGAAGTGGGCCTCTTATGGCTGTTTCTAGATGTCCACCCAAAGCCTCATGAGGGATTTTTAGAGATAACTGGATCTGGACTGTGTGATGCTGGGATTAAGGCTGAGTGATTACTAAATTAGTCCATTGATTGGTTTGGTATCACTCCAATCATGGATATTGGGAAAGCCTACCTGGGTGTGAGTGCTACTTGCCCTAAAGATGTGTAGCCCTGCTGGACTATAAGGGACAGAAAGCGGGCTACTGTCATTACTTGCTGCTTTCTGCTTCACTGCTTTACTGCCTTCTGCCTGCCATGGACTGTTTCTCCTCTGCTATGTGCATCTACCATGCCACCCTACCTTGGAGCCAGCCAACTATGAACTGAAACCTCTACAAACTGTGAGATAAGTACACCTTTCCTCCTGTGACTTTGGGTGTTCCATATTTTGTCTCAGCAATGACAAGGAGTAACTAAGACAGAGACTGAACTCTCTTTGGAAAGGCCTGCAGTATTACAAAGTTTGTGGCCTCAGACTTTACTCTCCACCCATTCCCATAGCCCTGCAGATGGTGCCTCTTCATCCTGTCCCCTAAAGTTTGAAGTGATTACCTCGGTGACCTTGAGCCACCATTCTTAATGTTGCACAGATTTCTGTGACTTTGGAGGTGAAAATAGCAGGTCAGAGTACATCCTCCATTCCTGAAAACTAGGCAGATCTAAAGCATGAATGTACTTGTGTGTATGGGCAAAATCATTTCTTTTGTGCTGCAGTATTTGTAATTTACTATAATACAAAAAATTAAACTTGTTATGCATGTGCTGAAATGTTGAGTCTAAAGCATGTTTGTCCAGGTAACCCTATCACTGAGCATCTATAATACCAAAACGATCTTTTGAGGTTTAGATAATCTTGGCACAATGTAATACCTCCAGGTTTTCAGAAGGAACACCTTGTGTGCTGTGTTTAGTTACATCGACATGGCAGCTCTGAGTAGTCAGTCCCACTCTACCTCTAAAATACATCTTTGGGATGTCTGTTCCACAAAATCCTTGCCCAGACTTCTGTCACCATCACTGAGGAACTTGCAGAGGCCCCTTTGAGTCTCCGTGGTTGTTTGTAGGAGAAAGGCCTGCTTGGCCCACGCCCTGCATCTGCCTCCTCTCCCTTCAGGATCTCCCAGCACCTCCCATCTCGCTCCCTGCAGCCCAGCTTCCCTGCCCTCTGTGTCTCCCTGGAACACACTCACCATTCCCCACACACAGATGTGACCCAGTCCTTCGCCTCATGGTCTCCTCAAGGTTCACTCTTAACATTTAGGTCTTAAGTGTGCTGTGGTTTAGGGCACTGACAGCCATCTATTAATCTAAGGTGGCCTGAACAATTGTCCTGATGTTTTCTGTTACCTTGCTAGGACCTCTGTTTATCTCCTTGTGCCCACTTCATTGTTTTCCACTTTACTGAGCAGAAAACGGGCTTCCTGAGTACACCCTCATCCCTGCACAGACTCTGTCTGCAGCCTTGACAGGATCCACCTCCAGCGACTACTCCTTAAATTAAAAAATGTTTAGTAAAATCTCAGTGATACTTGACAAGGGGCAAGACCTGATACACTTCACCCACATAACCCATGAAAGAAAGAAAGGACAGGGAGCGGTTGTCCCTGGAGGAGCGTCACCACTCTTGGGCCAGCGTTTCACATGTGTAGAGTCTGGGCCTTCCGAGAGGTGTGGAACTTTAAATCACGAGTTAATGTGGTGATTCCATGGTAACCCCAGTTCCAGTCAGTTGTACACTGGCTTCTTCAGGAAACTTTACCTGTTATTGGTTCTGGGGGAGTCACAGCAAACTGACACATGTGCGCCCGTTTACTGTGGCCCAGCAGCCCACAGAATAGGGCCAGTACGGGCTTCTGACAAGTGCCAGGGAGAGCAAACACAATGAAACAGGCACTGAAGTGCACATCCTGGAACAGGAATGACTGTGAGGAATGATCTCACTGGTGGGGCGCTCAGGGAGGAAGCATGCTGCGCAGGGGTGCAGAAGAGACACTGGGTGAGGTGTGTTGAAAGGAAGTACGGGAAGAAGAGAAGCACACTCCAAACTTGGCTTCTGATGTGAAACTACTAGAAGAGAGAAGTTGGACATTTAAGGAAACGCTGTTTTATGGCTGAGAGTCCCAGGAGGACAATATAATATTGCAAAGATGCATTTACCTCCCCAGTAAGGTGTAGATTTATTTTTAAAAAGAGTAGAGAGAAAAATTAAGGCAGCACATTGCTGGCTGAATGACACAGAGGAAAATTGCTAGTTTGGAAACCCTGCTGCTAGCTTTTGATGATTGGATGCAGATCTCAGCCAATGTTTGATCAAATATGTCAGCAACACGTGGAGACGCAGACAACAGACACCGAGACACTCCAGTGCATTTTCATCTGCCCTTCTCCAGTGTGGCTTACTTCTACAGTGCTTTGTCAGCATGCAGGATGCA